TCTCTTTCTTTCTTATCTATTTTCTTTGTGATATCTTTATATATTTGTAGAAAAGAACCAAAATGGCTGCAAATCTCCTTTCTGCTGCAATTAAATTGTTCTAATATAAACCTGCCTTGTAGATGTACACAGGTCATTCAGTGTTGTTTCACTCCAATTCACCCTGAGGGTGAATTATTATTATTCTATTAACAAGAACCTCAGTTACCACCTCAGAGGTGGGTTGTGTAACACCCATCCCTGGAAGTGTCCAAGGTCAGGTTGGGTGGGGCTTGGAGCAACCCGGGCTAGTGGAAGGTGTCCCTGCCTGTGGCAAGGGGTTGGAATGAGATGAGCTTTAAGGACTCTCCCAAAACAAGCCATTCCATGGTTTTCCGTGAAACTTTTCATGCCACCTTGTCTCCAAACCTCAGCGTACCTTCCCCCTAAGGCAGCCTGCTGCACCCCCACTCTGTAAAGGCTTTTGATCATTCAGAGCAAGCATGAACTCTGCTGAACCTTCTCAGAGAGAAGTGATGGATTTTCCTGTCTCCTAAGCCATCAAATTGAGGTGGCATACCTTTTGGGAAGATGTGTTAATCAAATGAAAGCTATCAAACTCAATACAGCAGCAAGTGTGACACATTGGAAATCAAATAGTTCTCCCCCGTGAATCACCTTGTCCTTACATTCTGTGAACCCGAGGAAGAAGAAAGGCTGCCAAAATTCAACCACTAACAATAAAACCAGGAGTGACATTTCAGCTTTGTTCCAAGCTGATTTGTCAAACTGACGTTTCCAGTGATCTGGTGACACCAGTTTTCCAGTGAAAAAGGACTGGAGAGAGACAGGGTGACAACAGCAGCGATGGGACAGCCGGGTCCTGTAGGTGTTTGCAGGAGCTGGAAGTGACAAAGTTCATCTGATGTATCTAATACCAGGCAGCAGAACTGTACAGTCCTTTTCTTACCCTTCTGTACGGCACAGGCAGGATACAGCAATCACCTCTGCTATTCTGAGCAAATCCTGCATCAGAAAAGCAAGCAAATCCACCTCAGTATAACCAGGCCTTTAGAGGAGTGCACTGGGAGAAGAGGAATAGAGCAACTGGGGATTAAGTGAAGGAAATTCATTTCTGGCATAATAATGATGGTTTGCACTTGCAGCTGTCACTGGAACATAAAGCCTCATGTCAAACTTTCAACCTATGAAGTGGAGAGAAATCTTAGAATCACAGAAAATCCCGAGTTGAAAAGGACCTACAAGAATCAAAGTCCAGCTCTTGGTGCTGTGCACAACCATCCCAAGAATGTACAGTACAAATATATTATAAAATATATGTATATTATATATAAAATACATTTATATATATAAATGTAGAATATAACCCAGTTTCTGCCTGGTGTTAGATGTACCTGAGATTGAAAGTTTGTATCTAAATATGTACACGAAGTGTAAGAAGTAGATCCCAGAGCAAGTATCCATTTTGCAAAATCCACTGTAAAAGCCTTTGTTGTTGCCCTGGGGAATGGTGAAGGAATATTGCAGGAGAAGGGCACAGGAAAACAGACCAAGTCACTGGCAGAAGGAGAGGATGAAATAAAAGCGAAAAGAACAAAATGCCCTTCAGATATTCCCGAAGAAGAGACAGAGTCATTCTCACCTTCTTCAATCAATTACATCCTTCAGTTTTCAGGAACATTTCCTCACCTTGTGACTTGCCAACCTACAGATGGAAGAGCAGAGTTAGTGGCATGAACATTAGCAATTCCTGCGGTTTCCCAGAATTTCAGTGCAGAAGCCCTGCATAACCTGATTCATCAGCTGTTTGTGTGCAAGCACATTTATTTAAGTTTATGGGGGCAGGGGAATCCAACAAAAAAAGCTCAGATTTGTGTTTGGAGGATTCCTGGAGGAAAGGCAGCCTATGGGGAAGTCCCACAGCACCGAATAAACAAACTCTGTCACGCGCTTCCAGAAATATACGTAACGCAACATATGTTGTTGGGAATTTTAAGTCCCATTTTAAGTTTGTGTATGTTACAGAAGAACTTAATTAAACAGGAAAGTCAAGAAAGATATCGGGGAACTATGGCAAACAAGAGCAGAAAAATCCTGAAAACAGCCTTGACTGCACGTTGTACAAAAGAGGGTGAGCAGTGGACCGGATAAGGCACCTGAGGAGCAGCTCCCCAGGAACACCTTCCAAAGCAGACCCTGCCTCCTGCAGCCCCAGGATGCAACACTGGGCACGTCCTGACCTACTACTGCCTCGGAGGGTGGGAGTGAGCAACTCGGGACGTCACAGCACCAGAAGGAGTAACATGAGGTTTATTTTTACTTGCCTGCAAGTTTTGAGGTCAGCCACAAACTGTTTATGTTGTTGGTATAATTTCAGTAATCACAGGCTTTTCATATATCCTTGTTTACTGTGTTCTGGTTATTTACCGTGTTAATTGAGGTTGTGGGGCATAACATCAGCTTAATATAAGGGTTTTGTTGCCAATTAACACATTCCCATTTGTAGAGTTATATAATCACTAGCTGCTATCCTCCCGGCTGTAATTCACATGTTAGTTTGCATAATTACCTCCCAGTCACTTCTCACACGGGTAAGACAAATCCTCCTGTCCCAGCCTCCTCGCCAGACCTGCTGCACAAAGCACAGGGACTGCTCACTCGCAGGGCTCACGGATGGGTGTGTTTTAAATTAGGCACCACGGCACAACACTCAAGACATTAAATGGCTTGAAGCCTCCAGCAGAAGCAAAGGCATTTCTCAGTGTCACTTTGTACTGTCGGAATTTCTAAAGGAAGCACAATTTTTCCTTAATCCCCAGGTCACTGGCTGAAGTGGAGCTTGGTGTGTTCAGCACAGCTCCAGGCAGCTGTAGGTGTGGGGACACAAACGTGATTCAGAGCACAAGGCTGCCCTTCATGTCTCTAACTTCAGAGCAGAGAGAAGCTCATTCCAACCAAATCTACCCCAGCTTGTGCTCCAGGCTGCTAGTGGATGTCCCATCCCTGGAAGTGTCCAAGGCCAGGTTGGACAGGGCTTGGAGCAACCTGGTCTAGTGGACGGAGGTTGGTACGAGATGGTTTTTAAGGTCACTTCCAACCCAAACCTTTCTGAGATTCTCTGATAATGAGTCTCCTGTAATGTCTTCACATTCTCAGGATAGAATTCCACTCAGTAAGCTTATGCTAGGCTTACACTGGCTGACATCTAATGCAGTGGGATTTCCCTAAAACCAAACAGATGTTTTCATAGATCCCTCTTTAGGGGCTAATGCTCATTAACCAGAAGCCAAATTAACCACCTGCCCTGCAACCCCCTTTCCCCCCCCCCCCCCCCCCCCCCCCACACCTTCTTGCACACCTGCAGCAGAACTGAAAGATTTCAGAGCATGAACTTGGCCAGAACCTCCGGGAGCACACTCTGTTCCCCCACACCGAGCTCTGCACTTTATACCCTCACCACTGAGTTAACTTTGGCTCTACAAATAAACTGAGATGACTTTCCGCTGCTGAAATAAACTGTTACACAAGAAGCAGTGTTTTGGTGGTACATGTTGACCAGGAACCTGGCCAGGAGCACTGCTGCTCCATGGCACCTTGCTTTGGCCAATTCTTCCTGCGGGTTTCCTGCATATTTTCCTCTCCCTCCGCAGAACGAAGGCATCCATTCATCTCTCACTTTCCTTGGGAAAGCACACACTTACCAGCTTCATAACACGAGTGATGCCAGGGTTCTTGCAAAATGCTTCCACAAACAAGTGGTACTCTGAAGGCATTTTGAGGGTCTTCAGAATAAAGGCACATTTTCTTGCCTCAGGCTTTCCTGCTTCTTTTTCTAACTGCTTCCAAAACCTCTTCAGATCTTTTGCTAAGCAGCTGTTCTGACTCAGCTGGGTAGAAAGAGAAATATAAGATTCAGCACAACAAATGCTCCCACAGTCTGACTCACTTTAATTACCCTCGAGAAGTTTCTGGGGACCAACTGCACCACATACTCTGAGGAGAAAAATAAATAAATAGGGATACCATTGAGAACTGCTTTTTCTTTGTGAAGGAGGAGGCTCAATTTCAATTTTCTGTCTCTCTGCATGAACATGGGGAGCTAGAATAGAGCAGGTCTTACAATCCGTGTTCCACTATTCCTACTGTAGCTTTTCCATGCAGTCAGCACCCATCTCTCCAGGGCAGGCAGTTGCCCACAGGAACCCTACAGCAGCACAGCCCCACCACTCCTGAACCACCACAGGTGTCAGCCCAGCATTACAAACCACCCTCAGACTCCATTCACAGAGTCACAGACGGTTTGGGTTGGAAGGGACCTTGAAGACCATCCTCCTCCAACCCCCTGCCATGGGCAGGGACACCTTCCACTAGACCAGGTTGCTCAAATGCCATGGCTGGTGAGGGTAAGGGCTCCTAGTGGGATCACATCCTGCTCAGCTGCCGTGCTGCATGGACACAACACCCAGGACAGGACAGGGCTGCGCCAGGGGAGGTTTAGGTTGGACATTAGGAGGAATTTCTTCACAGAAAAGGCGATTAGACATTGGAACAGGCTGCCCATGGAGGTGGTGGAGCTGCCGTCCTTGGAGGCGTCTAAGGAAAGACTGGACATGGCATTGAGTGCCACGGTCTAGCTGACATGGTGGTGTGTGGTCACAGGTTGGGCTCGACGATCTCAGAAGCCTTTTCCAACCTGATTAATTCTGTGATTCTGTGTTACGTGTTGCACCTAAACTTGCCCATAGCTCTCAAGAGGAAGGAAGGGGCGGGGGGGGGGGCTGTGCTGCACAGGGAGCGGCTGGGCCTTACCACGCTGCCCGGGGGATGTGCAGGAGCGGGGATACAGCGCTGGGAGCCCCTCGGGCTGGGCTGCGACCCCCGACACATCCATCATCCCCCCCACACCCCGGCCCGTCCCCATGGCAACCGCGCCGCCGTGCACCAGGGGGCGCGCGCGGCACCCGAACCCCGACACCGCCCCCCCAAAACCGGCCCGAACCCCCCGGTCCGCCCCGAGCCCCCCGGGGCACCCTCGGCTCGACCCTCCCTGAGCGCTGCGGCGGCTGGTGACGGGCAGCGGGAACCCCTCGCCCCTGGCCCGAGCTGGCACTGCCCGTCCCGCTGCCCTGCAAAGTCGCCGGGACGGTCGCGCAGCGCCCCGGGCAAGGCAGGGACTCTGCGGCACCTGCCTGCAGGTGGGCACGGCCAGGGTGGGCACGGAGCGGGCAGGACAAGGGTAGGTATGGCGCAGGCAGGGGTGGGCACGGCGTGGGCATGCTGCCGGGCGCTTCGCCGCGTGGCCGCACAGACCTTCCTTGATGGAGCAGGACAAAGGTTTTGTTCTTCTCCCAACAGTGCAGCCTTGTGCGGCCGCGGGCAGCGGCGACAGGCAGCAGCCAGCGCGGCCCCGTGCTCCCACGCCACGGCGCAGGGGGGGAGTTTCTCCTCCTTTGTCTGCTCCCGGCCAGGCAGCAGCCGGTGCGCGGCAGCGGCGGAGCAGCCGGGGAAGGGCCTCGGCAGGATCCGCGGAGCACGGCGGCCGCGGTCCCCTCCGCCCCGGCACAGCCACCGGCCCGGCCCCGCCGCGCTGGCAACGAGCAGCGACCCCGGAGGAACCGAGCTCTTCATGACGGAAACCCGACCAGGGAGCGGGGACGGCAGCCGCGCCCGGGGACGGGGAGGACGGCAGCACTGGGGACAAGGACACTCGCGCCCCGTGCCCTCCCCCGGCGCCCGCGGTCGGCCATGGGGAACGGCATGAGCCAGGTAACGGGGGGCGCGGGGCGGCTGCTCCGCAGTCCGGCCGGGGCCGGAGGTGGGAGACCCTCTCCTGGCGGCTGCCCCTGCCGTGCCAAGCGGCGCTTCACCTCCCGGCACGGGATCCGGCACAGAGCTCGGCTCTCAGGCAGCTTGTTTACCTGCCAACAGAGCGGGTGAAACCGGGGGAGAAACAGACCGGGACACTGCACCAGGGCCCGTCCCGACCGCTGCTTAGGGGGTGTGGAGGGCAGGGGTCACAGAGAGCCCCTTCGAGGGAGGGGGGAACCTTTCCCAACAGCCTTAACCCCAAGGAACAGCTCCAAGCACACACCGGGAGCCCTGGAAGACCCCGAGCCTGGTGGTCCCACACCCCCTGCTTAGTGGGGCTGGGCTGTGCATGGGGCTTGGCGTCACTGGGCAGAGGGGCTGGGCACTATTTTATTTATGTGCTGCCCCGTTTTCTCCTGTGAGGAGTGGGTCAGCAGGGTGCTGGGGACAGACACGTGCTGTTTATTCATGGTTCAGTGCCCTGCCCTTGGGAGCTGCCCTTGCTAACTGGCTCTCTCCCACCCGCTCCTCTCAGTGCTGCAGCTGCGAGTTAAAGGCACCCAGTCGGTAGAAAATGGATCTAAAATCTTAGGAATCATAAAAAACCCCAGACCTCTTTAAGCTGTTCAACCAAGAGAAGCATTTCCAAATGTGAGCAATGAGACAAGTGTGAGCCCAGCTGTGCTGATGGAAAATCACCTCCACCTGCCCTGGGCACCAAACATTGCTGCAGGGAGAAGCTGGGGGAGAACCAGCTGGATACAGGATTGAACAGCCCTTCACTGCCCAGGCTGTGAGTGAGGGAGAATATAAAACAGCTCTGTGTCAGAAGGGTTGCAAGGTGTCCTGCTTCTGCATCTGCAATGCTGTTAATAGAGGCCTTGTCAAGTAATTATCCTTTCATTATGAGAAGTGGAATTTCCCAGGGGAAAATGAGCTGAAGGCACGGTGTCCAGAGCAATCTGTGCCTGGGCTGTGAGAAATGGGCTCTCTGCAGTGCAGAGTGTGGGGTACAGAGCTTGGGGCTGGGAGGGGGACAGCCAAATCCCCCCAAGCTTCTCTGTGCCTGTTGATTTCCTATCTCTCAGGCAGCAGGACTTATACAGGTCATGGGTATAGTCCAAGGCTGTACAGAGGTGTATGCAACTTGCTGAGCTCAGGTAATAAACCCCAACGGTGGATTTATTGATGATAAACGAGAAGAGCAATAAAAAACTCCATGTCTGACTGCCAGCACCCATGAGGGTGCAGCATCAGATGGTTGCAGGTACCAGGGTTACATCCAGCCCCGTGCCCTGGATGCCAGGGCAGCATCAGCCCCAGTCCTGCCCTGGGGCTGGTGATGGTCACCTCAAACACCAGAACTTTGGCTCCTCCAGCCAAGGTTGCTGTTCCCAATGGGGGTCCCAGCACACTGGGTACCTCAGCACAAGGTCACTGCTCACGCTGCCACTTCCCCTTGTGTTCCACAGATCCTTCCTGGCCTCTACCTTGGGAACTTTGTCGGTAAGCGGAACCCAGATGCTGCAGAGATGTCCTCCAGCTGGGGAGTGGGGCTTGCTTGAGTTGGTGTCTCCCTGCCTGCAAACTCTGCCTGACACCCTGCCTGCTCCCACTGCCCTGCCTGCTCCTGCTGCCCTGCCTGTGCCCACCACGCACTCTGCTCTGCCACCTGGTTTGGGGTGGCAGCAGTGGATTGGAGGCATCGTGGGGAATGCAAGGCAGAGACCCTCTGTATGGTTTCCTGATTTAAAGGCTGCCCTGAGCTCTTTGGACACACGGAGTGAAGGGGCCAAAGTGGAGGGAAATGGATCCTGTGCTGGGAGCAGAGGAGCTGGTGGTGCCACACCAGTGCAAAGAAGCAGGACTGGGGCACCTCGGGGTGATGCTCCCCAGTTTCACAGCTATAGGAGGCAGGAGGGAGCTGCCCACCCTCAGGAGGGAATTTCTCCCAGAGGCAGAATTGCCCCTTCTCACACCAAGTCACTGTTTTAAGGGGTTTTCATTACCAGGGAACAATTCATGACCAAGGCTTGGCATCTGCCATGAAAAAACAGCATTTATTGGTACTCCCACCTCCCTCATGGGTCCTTTGGCAGCTTGATTCCTGCAGTAAGCTCTGGGAAAGTTTAAAACCACTAGTGTGAATTGCTAAGGAAATGTCACTGGAATGGCAGCCCTGTACTCCCTGCACCCCATGGAGCACCTTGGGGTGGGCTGTGGGGGGCTGTGGCTTGCTGGGAGCAGAGGGACAAGGGTACCCAGCTCCCAAGTTCATCATGGGGGCTCCTGTGAGCAGCTCTGCTCTGGGGTCTTGGCCTGATGCCACCTGAGCATCGCTTTGCCAAGCAATCCAGGGTGACAACAAGATTCCAGGCCCGCAACATTAAGCTCACAGAGATGTTTTCTCTAACTGGAAGCTTTTCCTGCCCCTGTAAGCCTCGATTCCGGTGTCACTACCTGCTGTCACTGCCTGCCAAGGAAGATGGGAAGGTGGTGGGTGCTGTGTGAGTCCCCACAAGGGTCCCCATGTCCCTCCCCACATGCACAGCACAGCTCCCCCACAGAGCGTCTCCCTCGAGACTCACTCCTATTAAAATTCACATCATGCTGTTAGCACATCACAGTCTGGATTCCTGAGCCAAGGTTTTACACCACGTGAAAGTTCAGAAACCCAAAGGAATGAGATGGGCAAATGTTCCTCCTCCTCTCTGGCCGCTCTTGCAGCATCCGCTGGTCACGGCATGAAAGGGAGGCACTTGGAAGTTGCCTGGGAAGACGAGCATGCTCCCCTCCCAGCACAACTGTTGTGCTGCACCAGAGACCAGGATCATGGCCAGGGTGCTGAAGGGTTACTGAGGGGCAGGGCATATTCCCCCCAGACAGCTGAGGACACCCCATTCCTGTCCTTATGGCTGCAGAGAGGACGCACCAGAGCACTACGAGTCACTGGTCATGTGTTTTCTACAGAAAACCAAGAGTTGATATGAATTGCTGCAGCTCCACTTCCATAATTCACAAGACAAAGCAGATCCCTCAGGCTGCAGCAAGTCCCACTGCAGGGTGTGTCTGCCCAGGGAGGTGCAGGCAGGGCACGAGTCTCCTCCCAAACTGGGGACAAGTACAGGCAGGAGGGACACTGCCACGGAGTGTTTCTCTGCAGGTGTGAATGCTTTCCCCAGCATGAGCAGCGAGGGCAAGTGCCTTTACAGGGAGAGGTCTGTGGTTTGGGATCACGGGGTTTGCATTCCAGATTTCCATGTTTGCCCATGTCTGCGCTGCTGCACGTGGGGGTGGGATGTAGTTGATCTGCTGCAGAAAGGCTCTGAGTGCTGGCTGGCTGCAGGAGCACGGTGGGTGCACTGTGGGAAGAGAAGGCTAAGAAATGAATACATGTTGGTATCTAATTTTATCCTTTAGATGCCAAAGACCTGGAGCAGCTAAGCCGGAACAAGATCACCCACATCGTTTCGATCCATGAATCCCCCCAGCCCTTGCTGAAGGTAGGATCCTGCACCCCATACCACCATGTAGATCCCTGCAGCTCCTTCCATGCTGCATCTTCCTTCCCCCTCTGAGCATCGCATGGCACGTACACCTCTCCATGGTCACTGCTCCCAGAGGAGCTGGACAGCCCCCTCGGCATGGGAAACTGGCTTGTGACTATAACCCGGCCTTGAACACTGACAGGAAACAACTTCCAGCTTTCCAGCCTCATCTTGTTTCCCATCCCCTCCCATGAGTTGCCGGTGTCCCCCTGCCCTCCCCTTCACCCAAGGGAGAGTGTGGCCCCATCCCCACATAGGGGGATGCTGTGTGGGAGGAGTGAAACTCCACAGGCAGCTCTGGGTGAGGAGCAAAGGTGCTGCCAGCCCAGCTGTGAGCATATATGACACCCTGACTACAGTGCCTGAGCTTTTCCTCTTCCTGTTGTATCTTCCAGGATATTACCTACCTCCGCATCCCCCTGCCTGACACCCCTGAGGCCAACATGTGAGTACCCCAAGGAGGCCAAGGAATGCTCGAGGGCTGGGGTCTGCAGGGCAATCAGGGGTGAGGGCTCACAGCACCCCAAGCCCTTGAGGTGCTGCCTCCAGCTCCTCAAGCACAGTGACCCACAGGCTAAAGGTGTGATGCTGCAGCGCTGGGGACCACCCCGGGACCCCAACAGCATCCCAGTTCAGTGACCACTGTGAATGGCTCCAAGCCCTGTGGTGAGGCAATGGGCAGCCCCTCTGCAGCACCCATGGACAGGAGCAGCAACACCCTCCTGGGAGTTGCCTGGAGGGGGAAGAGCAGGTAAAGGGTAAGGAGCCAGCCAAGGGTGCTGGAGTGGCTGAAGGTGTGAGCAGCCAACATCCCACTGCCCCAGCAGGAGTCACATGAGTCACAGGGCAGCCCCATCCCCAGCACAGTGTCCCCTGCTGCGTTCCCAGCATGGCATGAGCTGGCAGATCCACCTTCCCTTGGGAATCAACAGCACTGAGCTGCTCAGGTCTCAGCAGTGGCTGGCGGAGCCCCTAAAGCAACTCAAACACACAGGGCTGCTCTGCCTGTGGCCAAAAATCCTGTTCCACCCCTGAAGTTCTTATTCTGTCTGGTTTATTTTTCCTGCTAGCAAGAGGCACTTCAAGGAATGCATCAGTTTTATCCACCAGTGTCGCCTGCATGGAGGGAACTGCCTCGTCCACTGGTAATGCTTCTTCCCCCGTGCCTGCTGCTGTGTTTCCTCAGCTCAGCAGAGATCCAGCCCCTCACTTGGGCTGCAAACCCCTGATCAGAGCCAGCCTGTGCCAGAGGGCTCCGTGCCCACAGATCCACCCAGGATCCACCCTCAGCTGCAGCTTGTGACTCAAATCCAGCGGGATGCAGGCAGTCCTGGAGCCAGGGCAGTTTCTTGCTGCAGCTGAGCATGTGGGATGAGCGAGGTTTGGGGCAGGCAGCCAGGCAGCGGCCGCTGCTCCCATTCCCTGGGGAGGAGTGGGTATTTATAGGCACTGATGGCCAGGACCTTGGAAGGGCTCAGACCTCCGGGAGAGCAAGTCCTTGGAAAAGAGGAACTGCAATAACTGAGGCACAGGGGTGGAGGAAGAGGGGAGTGTGGGTTCAGGGTGTGCCACCAACTCAAGCCCTTCTGCACTTTCCCTCGCCAGCCTCGCTGGCATCTCCCGCAGTACCACCGTGGTCGTTGCGTACGTCATGGTTGTCACGGAGCTGAGCTGCCAGGAGGTGCTGGATGCCATCAGAACCATCCGGCCCGTCGCCAACCCCAACCCTGGCTTCAGGCAGCAGCTGTCTGAGTTCGGTGGCAGTGCAGCCCGCAAGGTGGGACCGGCCTCTGCCACCTGTGCTCTGCTCTGCTGAGCCTGCCATGAGCCTCAGAGCAAGGACAGGTCCTGAGGGGACTCCGTTTCTTCCCCACTCCCTTTTCTGGCAGGCTTGGACCTGCCCTTGGAAACTGGCACCTTATTTTGCTTCTCACTCCTTCCCCAGGTCCGCAGGCACCTGAAGCAGAGGTATGGGACATCCCCTTTCAATGATGAGGAAGAAATAAAGGCCTTGCTGCCAGCAGGGAGAGAAGGAACATCCAGGACAGAGGGAGCTCAGCAAGGACTGGTCCCAAGAGCCAGAGACATCAGAGGCACAAGTCCCTTCCTGCTGCGGGTGAAGAGGACGTTCTCCTGCATCCCAGCCTGTCTGAAGTGACCCCAGCCAAGGGAGAGCAGCGAGAATCACCCAACAGCCTGGGAGAGATGAAGGACACAACACAGTGGGATGAGGAGCGCTGGGCAGGGACCTGCACCAAGCCCATCTCCTTCTTCTCTTCTGGGCTGGGAGCATGCCACCCTCTGTGTGGGTGGGATTCATGGGCACTGCTGGACTTTGCAGCACGTGCTGGGCTCATCCTCTTTGCATCTGGCATGCTGGGGACGCGGGTCTCTGCCCCCAGGTCACTGCAGGCTTGGGCCAGAATACAGAGGGGGTCTCTCCTGCCACAGGCCAGCACCCAGGTGTTGGCAGCAGCAGCTTTAGCACTTGGGTACCCACTGCACAGGCCTCAGGGTGCACAGGGTGCAGGCGAGCTGGCGCTCCCCTCAGAGCAGTTTTCCCACCAGCAGCACAAGCTCCCAGCGCCCAGGTGGCTGCGGAGCAGGGACACACCAGTGTGTCAGCAGGTAATGCCACCACACTGGCTGCTAGGCGAGGGTCCAGCTTCAACCTGGCCAAGCACAAGCCCTGAGCAAGCACTGTAGCTTTAGGAATCCATTGCACCCCATTCCTGCCCATTCCAGGGCACAATCTGCAACAGGTGGGAACCAAGCGTTTAACCTGGCCAGACCTCACTAGAGCCTTAAGCCATTTTGCTTAAAGACTTTCTATGTCCCTGAGTAATAAACGCCCCTTCTCTGCGGTCTGACTCCCCTGTGGTGGCTGGGTTGGAACAGGGATGCTGAGGAGGAAGGTCCTGGTGTGGGGTCCCCCTCTCCTCCCAGCTCTTGCCAGGCTGCTATTCCAATTCCCTCACTTCCAGGCCAGGGCTCTCTCTGGCACCCTTTGGCTCCTCAGCACCCAGCAGGGTGGTAGCCCTGCACCCCAGGACCACACACCTGGGATGGATGTGTGCCTCATGCACAGCTGCACCCTCCCATGCTGGGACACGCTATGCCAAGGTGTTTACACGCAGGGATTCCCCTGTTCCCACTGTAAGCCACACAGGGCTGTGGCCCCTCCAGCCCAGCTCAGCAGCACAGCAAAATGTATTTATTTTGGCAGATCTGGTTTGCGCAACTTGGAAAACCCCGGGCGAGGGCAGGGTTAGCCATGAGTTAATGTTTGACTCCTTTTTGAAGCTCATTTCTGCTTGAAAAGTTTAAGGGTTAAGCAGCTTCACCTTCCCCGCGCTGGGAGCAGCACAGTGGGGAATCCGGTGTGGAATCCGGCTCCTGATCCTCCTCGCTGATGCCCGGGTAATTAGATCCCCCGGGTCCCGCGTCACCACGCGGCTGTCACAGCACATGAAATCCCCGGCCGATAAAGCTTATCCCAGGGGGCCGGGGCTGGCAAAAGAGCCGGCGGCTGCGATTATCTCCCGGCCTTGAATGTAATCTGTGCAAGCCACTGAGAGGCTGTGCAATGACCCCTTGCCATTGCTCCACTTCCCAAGGCAGAAAGGGGACGTGTGGGTTCTCTGGCCGTCAGTCCCAGGCCCTTTTCCTGGAATGTGGCCCCCCGGCACGCCCAGCAGAGAGGTGCAGGGGCTGCCTGGGCTTTGCTCTGCATCAGAGGGGCCCCGGACAGGCTCAGTAAGGAGAGAAAACCCCTGCCTGTGTGACTGGGCCATACACCCGCCGTGGCCCCATGTGCCCTCTGTGCCACGTGGCCATGTCCCATCCTCACGTCCTTTTGGAAAGCCCGAGCCAGGGCGCTCTGCTGCTGATTATTCATTTGGAGACTTCGCAGCCCCAGCAGCTCCCAGGAGCCTCGTTTCTCCTCCCTGCGAGAGGTGAATTTCTCTGACTCAGAGCTGGAAAAGGGACCTGAGGGGCTGCAAAAGGTGGCCTGGGGGGCTGCAGCAGGGCAGAGGAGCTGGGTTTTGCTGCACAGTGACATGGGGCTCTGCAGCAGTGATGGAGGAGCCAAGACTAGTGTCACTCCAGGGTGGTCCAGTGACCCAGCCCGTGCCCTGCTGGGGGCCAGCGGGGAGCTGGTGCAGGATGAGTCAGGCTTCCTCCCCGGCCCCGGCAGCCCTTGGTGCAGCTCATCCGCCCTTCCCACCCTGTTCCTGTTCCACTCAGGGCACAGAGCCCCGCGAGACAGACGTTAACAGAGACAGATAAGAACACAGGAGAGGTTTGAGAGATGGGAACATGTGACTGCTCACACCACCCTGGAAACCCCGTGCTGTTCCCACAGCTCCCCACACCCGCGGGATGACCTGCTGGTCCCAGGGAGGACACAGTCCCTGGGGCTGGGAGGTGTTTGGATCCTCAGAGCAGGAGGATGGGGGAGCAGGGTCCCTTGCCCTCTTTGGGGCGCAAGTGAGAGTCCTAAAAGTCTAAGGGAAGGCACTCGGGAGGGGTACAGGGGAGTTCCACGTGCTTTCTAGCGCCCTATCCCCTCTCTCATGGATGCAGTGTGCCTGTCCCCTCCTCTGTGGGTGCAGGGTGCCTGTGTTGAGAAATACACCTAGTGCGAGTATCTAGGTATGCAAACTACCAGTGCGAGCTGCACATTGTGTTCTGGGTGACAGGAAAAGGCTGAGCCTTAGGCAACAGCAGGGAATGGGCGCCCACCCCTTCCCTCCACCTGTGGCACAGGCCAGGCTGGAGGCTGATCACCCAGGACTCTGCAGGAGCCAATGAGCAACAGAAAGAGCCTAAAATCTCCATTGGTGTACATGGGTCCACTGACTGCGAGGACATGAAACCCCGAGGATGCCTTTGTTGGGGGTCCCTCCCGGAGTCCCACCGCTGTACTGCTCAATTACTGCACCACTTGTTCCTGAACTCGGATGTCAGACACCGCTGCGGGAAACCTGAGGCAAAGGAAAAATTTAAGAACCGTCCCCTCTGTCGTGGAGCAGCCAGAGCCGGCAGCGTGGGCCGGGAAAAGGAAAGTGAAAGCCGGAGCCACTTTCGGTTTCGCCGCCGGGCCGCGATGGCGGAGCCGGGGGCGCCCATGCGGCTGAAGGAGTGGCTGATCGCGCAGATCGACAGCGGCCGGTACCCGGGGCTGCGCTGGGAGAACCGGCACCGGACGCTCTTCCGCATCCCCTGGAAGCACGCGGCCAAGCAGGATTACCGGCAGCAGCAGGACGCTGCACTCTTCAAGGTACCCCCGGCTCCCCGCGATCGCCACCTGGCCCTGGGAGCGCCCCCGGGACTCGCCCCCCGGGGCTCCGTGCGCACCCCCGGAGCTCATCATTGCCTGGGGCTCCCTGCTGCTCAGCTCCGTGTGCTCCCCTGGGACCCCCCAGCACCCAGCTCTCCACAGCCCCCCAGGACACATAGCCCCGGTTCCCCACGGTCCCCCCCAGCGGTGTATTCGTACCGCGGAGGGCCCCCTGGGGCAGTGGAGCGGGGGGCCAGCGTGTGGGCAGCCCCCGCAGCACAGGGCACCCTCTGTCCCTCAGGCTTGGGCCATCTACAAAGGGAAGTACCAGGAAGGGACGGACAAGGCTGATCCCTCCACCTGGAAGACTCGTCTCCGCTGTGCCCTCAACAAGAGCACCGACTTCCAGGAGGTGCCTGAGCGGAGCCAGCTGGATATCTCTGAGCCTTACAAGGTGTACCAGATCGTGACTGACAGAGCCTGTGATGCAGGTATGTCCCTGTTGTCCCTCCTCTTGTGCCAGATGTGGGGTTGCTGCCTGCACCATGACTGTACGAGCCCCGTGTCCTGCAGACATCACCCTTCCCTCCTACTCCCCTTCCTCTCTGGGTGTCCTGGGCAGCCACCTGTCTTCCCTGGGGCTGTTCCTGCTGTTTGCCAGGGGCTCATCAGTTTTTCCTTGCTCTCTGCAGAGGACAGTGACACACAGTGCCCAGGCAGTGAGGACCAGCAGGTGAGCTCACCCAGTGCCATCCGGGCAGGGGAGAAGGTGGGACCCCCAAAACTCCCCCCCGTCTGTCAGCTGCTCTCCTGGCTGCACACTGCCCGTGTCTGTCCCATGGGGCATTGCTGAGAGTCCCTTGTGCCATGCAGCTACCAGACTCTGGCAGCTGGTACATGGGGTCCATGGCAGAGGCAGGAGCCAGCTCAGGGACCCCTGCTGCCAGCTCAGCCCTCACTGAAGCCACTCCTACCCCCAGGGCAGCACTGCAGGGAGTCCAAAGAAGGAGGAAAGCCAGAAAGACCCATTGGAGACAGACCACGGATCTCCACAGCCCCTGCTCTCTGCCCGCCCAACTGAGAGAGGTGAGGAGGGTCCCCGTTGACAGGATGGGGCTGGGGGCAGGGAGCACACATTTCCCAGCTGGAAAGATCCTGCTCTCCTGCTCTGTGCAGGCAACACCTGTGGGGATGAAGACAGAGGCTGGGGACTCCCTCCTGGCCCCTGCAAAACCACTTAATCACATACTCAGGGGCTCTTATGAAGCCCAGTAATGAGCAAACACGGTGCAAAGGACCCTGCTGCCCACCAGGCCAGGAGAGCACCTGGGAGTCCTCGAGGACAACTGCCCACATCCCTTTACCACCTCATCTCTGCCCTGGTCCAGGGTACCTCGTGAGGGGAGTCTTCTACGGCTGGAACCCAACCCATGGCCAGTTCCTCCCCAGATCCCAGTCCTACCTCCCCGTGGAAGATGTCAGCAACTCAGGTAGGAGCCACACTGGTGGGCAGTGCCATGGGTGGCCCCACCAGCCCGGGCTGCCCACGGGCTGACTCTCCCTCACCCCAGATTGCTGGCTCCACATCCGCCTCTACTACTGCGACGTGCTGGTGAAGGAGGTGACCACCCGCACGGCCGAGGGCTGTCGCATCACCAGCCGGGCCGTGCCGGCCGACAGCGAGCGCCTCTACGGCCCCTCCTGCATGGAGCAGATCGAGTTCCCCCCACCGCAGGCACTCAGCGGCCACGGCCACGCGGCCGCCATGGCCAACGTGCTGGAGCGGCTCCTGCCCCACCTGGAGCGCGGGGTGCTGCTGTGGGTAGCACCCGAGGGGGTCTTCATGAAGCGCCAGTGCCAGGGCAGGGTGTACTGGAATGGGCCGCTGGCCCCACACAGGAACTGGCCCAACAAGCTGGAGAGGGAGAAGACCTACAAGCTGCTGGACACACAGCAGTACCTGCAGCGTAAGTCCCGCCCGCCACCCCAGGAGACCCCGATCCCCTTGGGAAACAGGGCAGGTCCTGGCCTGGCATGGCTGCTCGAGGCCGTGGGGACCCCCTGTCCTCTGACAGGGTTGGTGTCTTGCAGAGCTGCGGGAGTACCTGAGCAACGGGCAGCTCATGCCACAGTACCAGATCCACCTGTGCTTCGGGGAGGAATACCCCACCAGAGCTGGGCACCCCCTCCAGAAGCTCATCATGGCCCACGTGAGTACACACCGGGGCTGGTGACCCTGAGCCGGGCACCAGGACCATCGCAGTGGGGGATACAGACGTGAACCTATTCCATCCCTCTGTGCCTCTGCAGGTGGAGCCGGTGTTCGCACGGGAGCTCTTCCATCACGCCCAGCGCTTGAGACCAACGCTGCTCCACAACTCCCCCCAGCCCTGTGCCCCTGGCACCTCCAGCCATGTTATTCATGTTCTCAAACAGCTCTGCCAGCCCTGAGCTGGGCAGGAGAGGAGAGCTCAGTCACCATAAAGTCTCAGAGCAGGAGGCTCTGAGCCCCACGGCCTTACTCCAGCTGCGTGTCCTGAGGCAGAGTGCACGGGGTGCTCAGCGTGAGGAACCAGATGCAGGCAGGTTCTGGTCAGGGTGGGCGGGCACTGCTGCCCTCGTGAGTGCTGTATTTATTGCCCAGGAGGTCCCCAGGTGGGATTTGCTGTGTGCCTGTTCAGCCAGTTGGGGCAAAGCCGGCTCCATCCTTGCACCACCGGGACTTGCCATTTGTGAAACTCAGAAATAAAGGTTGTGTTTTGGTACCAGTGTCAGGGGCTGGCTCTGGTGTGGGGGACTGGTGCCAGTATGAGGGGAGCACAGGTGGCTGGGGAAGCCAAGTCTGCATAGTGTGGGCAAAGCCAACTCAGCCCCAGCCACAAGGGAACAGCCCTGTTCATGTGGTGGCTCCAGACCCATCCTACCCCTCATGCAAGCACCTTGGCAGGGCTGAAGGCAGCAGCGAGGTGCCTGTTAGCTGCTCTACTGAACTGGCAACATGGGAGCCTGTCCCAAAGGCACTCCCTGCCTGTGCCTCAGTTTCCCCTGGTGAGTGGAGTGAGTGGGTTCCTGAGGGCCATTCTGCACCCTGAAGGTTGGGAATGGTGCAGGGACCTGGCACAGCACAGGATCTGGCACAAGCCCAGGCTGAGAGCAGGGGCTGAGGCACTGGGGTGGGCAGGGGGCAGATGGGCATCTGAGGGCAGGCAGCACCCTCAGCTCTGCCAGCATCCCCCCGCTGAGCCCCGCTCCAGGCCCAGCTGGAGCCCGGCGGTGCACTGTGAGCAGGGCAGGATGAGAAACAGGTCGTGGGAACCTTCCGTGGGAAAAGGGGCTGGGGGAGCCGGGGGCTGTGCCCGCCTCTACCCTGGGGAGGCTGTGGCTGTGCCAGCCCCGGGGCCACTGGCTGCCGGCCGCAGGTCTTGGCGGCGCATCCGTCCGTCTGTCCACAGGGACCAGTGCTGGACGGCGGAGCCCCGCTCCGCCCTGGGCGGCCCCTCAGAGGAGGGGCCCGCCGCCCCCTCGCCGGCCGGCGGGTTTTAACGGGCCGTGCTGGGGCCGTGCGGCAGAGCGGGATCAGCGGGATCAGCGGCAGGGCTGGAACGGCAGCGCCTGGCCGGGAGGATGCAGCCAGACCTTCCCATCAGCGACACGGTGCTGCGCAGCCCACCAGCCCCCGAGCCGGCCGGTGGCCCCTTCCCCAGCACGGAGGCCACCAAGCCACCCTACAGCTACATTGCCCTCATCACCATGGCCATCCAGAGCGCGCCCGAGCAGCGCATCACCCTCAGTGGCATCTACCGCTACATCATGGGCCGCTTCACCTTCTACCGCGAGAACAAGCAGGGCTGGCAGAACAGCATCCGCCACAACCTGTCCCTCAACGAGTGCTTCGTCAAGGTGCCCCGCGACGACAAGAAGCCGGGCAAGGGCAACTACTGGACCCTGGACCCGGACTGCTACAACATGTTTGAGAACGGCAGCTTCTTGCGGCGCCGCCGGCGCTTCACCAGGAAGAGGGGCCTCCGGGATGCCCCAGGCACTGAGGGGGATGAGGGGCGTGGGAAGACCCCCAGGCAACGGGCAAGGGGGCTGCCTGCTGCCCTGCTGTCTGAGGAGGGGAAGGCAGAGGGAGGCTACAAGTCACCAGCAGCCACGGGGCGCCTGCCAAGCCCTGCCACACCGTCCGAGGGTACCGGGGTACCAGGGTACTCTGAGCCCTCTGCCCGGCGTCAGCCACCCAAGGCCACACAGCCCTGCCTGTACCTGCCAGACACGCCACAGCCCAAGGGGCCATTCTTTGCACCCCCCGAGAGCCGCCCACCCAAGGAGACTGTCTTCGGGGGGCTCCCGGCAGCACTGCAGCTGCCCCGTCCAGGTCAGTACCCGCTGCCCGGCGAGCACCCGGCCCAGCACCCTGCCCTGCTGCCCGCCCTGCTGCCCACCCAGCACAGGGACCCCCCGCAGGACTCACCGGCCACACCAGGCACCCCCCCGGGGCAGCTGGAGGGCGAGGAGTCAGCTGCCCCCGGGCTGGGGACGGGCCAGCCATTCGGGCAGGTGCCACCTGCATTCCCTGGCACCCTCCTGGGCACAGGCAAGCCCCCTCCATCCTGCTTCCTGGAGGGAGAGGGCTACGTGCAGCCCTCCTTACCTGTGTTCGGCTCCTTTGGCCGGCCGGGGCCTGAGGTGCTGGGCAGCAGCTACCAGTGCCGGGTGCAGGCGCTGAGCTTCTGCATGAAGGAGCGGCCGTGCGGCACAGCGCTGGAGCATCTCCTGGCTGCAGCGCCCCCGGCCCCCGCCAGCCCCCGCCAGCCACCCTTTGGGGCCATGGGGCCACGGGCAGGCGAGCAGAAGGAGCCATGGGGGACGGGGGCTGCGATCCCACTGCAGGGAGGTAATGGCTACCCCCTGGGACTGCCCCCCTGCCTCTACCGGACACCCGGCATGTTCTTCTTCGAGTGAGGGACTCCCCACCCTGGTACACGCCAGCACCCAATAAAGCACATTCCCCAATGCTGCCTCTGTGGTCTCTGTGCCCCGCTCGAGGTGGGGCAAGCTGGGGACTGTCTGCCTCAGCCCAGGCGCTGGCTGGGGGACGCATATCCCCAAGGCCACCCAGCACACACCCCGTCCCTGCTGGCCCCTCCACTGGCTGGACAGTGAGGCCACGGGGACACAGGGCATGGCCTGGTCAGGGCGCCTACATCCAGGTCGTGTGTCCTTGGGAGACACTGGGGAAAAGGTCCTGACACAATCTGGGGCCAGGAGCCCCTGAAGCCCCATCCCCTGGTAGCATGAAGGAACCTTGTCCCTGGGGGTCAGAGGGTTCTGCTGCAACAGAAGTTATTCCTCAATGGAGCCTCGCTGTGCCTGGGACCCTTCCAGGTGCCTGGCTTCACCCCAGGTGCCACACACAGCACAAGTGGCACCAGCCTCACTGTGAGGCCCCGTTCATGTACCAGTGTGATCCCAGAGAGATGCCAGGGAGACTCTGGGGATTGTGGCACAGTGTGGGGGCTCTGCTGCGGGGAGTCAGGGCTTCCTCCCCTCTCTCCCTGCTTCTGGCTGAGCCAGTGCCTGGCTGGGATCCCAACTAGTCCCTGCAGACTTGGAGGCCAGGACACCCCCAGAGATGGGCTGTGCCAGGGGCTGCAGCTCTGGTGGGAACGACAAGGAAAGTGGATTCCTCCGACCTGAATCACGCCGGGTGGCTGCCAGTGAGGAGGCACCAACTGAGTCACCGCTGTTGACACCGGGCTGGGCACAGGGACCTGCCCCCGTGAGTCAGGCTGTGGGACACAAGCATGGGCAGGGGTCCCCATACAGCCCCAGGATGGGACCTGGCCACCAGCCCCTTCCCACACGCTGCTGGAACATCCAAGACAGCAGCTCTGCAGCACTGGAGCGAGGCCAGAGTGATGCTGGCAAAGTGGGGGGCTGTACTCGTGCACTCCTTCCAGGTTGGGACAGAGAGCTCCCCAGGAGCAGCAATGCCTGGACCCCACAGCACAGCCAACCTCAGGACGTAGGGCTGACAGGAGCTCTCCATGATGTTGTGGGGAGCAGACTTGTGGCAGAGTTCCCCCGGCCCCCCAAGGCCAGTGGGACCCCGGCTTGGCCAATCTTGGGGGTCTCCGTGGGGGCCATGCTGGCACGGAGGCACAACACTGCCGTCACTCGGGGACCGGGAGCACCGCGGCCGCGTCAGCCCTGTTATCAGCCCCCAGACGGCTGCTGCTGGGCCGTGGCTGTGTCCCAGCCCCGGGCAGGGCGGGGGGGGCCGCCCTTCGTCATCGAGGACGGCCACTCAACCCTGGGCCTCTCTTTTCTCCCTTTTATTTTTTTTCCTACCCAGTGGAAAACAATATTTGAGCGCCTACATCATGCTGGCGTCTCTGGAGCGGCCGGCGGCAAGTGCGGCTGACCTCAGCCCCCTCCTTTGCGCGGTCCCCGGGGGCGCGGGAGGAAGCGAACGCCGCAGCCGTGCCCAGGGGCCGTCTGGTTCCCACGCGTGGCCGGGCCCATCGCCCGCCCCGGCTGGGAACACACAGCCCCGGCCTCACGCGGTGCCCAGGACGGGGTGCCTGTGCTGGGAGCAGTGTGGTGCATCCCACTGCCTACCCCGGACTAGGGGAAAGGGACCCCTGTTTCCTCACAGCCTGCACCGCCCGGGCGTGCAGATCAGAGCCATGTGCTCTGCCGGTGCTCCCCTTCCCCACGCCCACCCTGACTCCTGCTCATGGACCCACTGCTCCCCCAGCTCTGCCTCCTCCCTGGCTCGCTCCTGGCTCGCAGTGGGTGGCCTGGCCCTCTGCCCACTCGCCCGCTCCCATCCTGGGCTGTGCCGTGGTCAGGACTGCGCTGCACCCGGTCACGGGGAGAACCTGCTGCTGCTGCTGCTGGTGCTGCCAGGTGCTGGTGCCGAGGACTGCCCACTCCTCCTCCCTCCCCGTGCTGCCTGCAGGGCCCCTTGTTTCTGCTGGCAGTGTGGGTGCCACAGGGGTGGGGTAGAGGCCCACATGGGGAATGTGTGCTGCTCCAGGCTCTGGGGATGGATGCTGTGGACACACAGCACACCCAGACTGTGCTGTGCATTCATGGGGGTGACAAGGACCGCATGCAGGAGGGATGGAACTGGCTGCCATGGCCTGTGCTGGACCAGGAGCAGCCCTGTCTCTGTGTCCCTTGGCCCTGGCAGGGCCAATCCACTCCCCAGAGCTTTGGAACCTTACGAACTGTCCTGCCTTTCAACTGGGAGCAGGGGATGGGATCACATCTACTTCCATGGGTGTCAGAACTGTGGCCCCACTCATCCCACCTCAATGGGTGTTCCTGTGTGGTCCCATGGTGGGAAAGAAGGGGCTGGAGCTGCCAAACTGAGCTGTGAGGTAGAGTCACTCACTCTGGGATGTGCTGGTGCCTGCGCATCCCTGTGCTGCAGACGTGCACACGCAGGGCTCTGTGCAGGAACTGATCCCCCAGAGCAGCTTGGGGTGCCAGGAGTGTCCAGGGCCGACAGTCCATCTGGGAACCCCACGGCCACCCTGCAGCAGGGCCCTGCAGCCCCTGTGGCCGGCCAGGGCCAGGGCCGGGACCGGGCAACACGCAGCTCCTGGGGCCAGACAGGAAGGAGACGTCACCGCCGCGGAGCGTAACTCAAACCAGATGGGGCTGCGCTGGCGTCCAGGCCTGCGGGGTGGTCACCGACAGGAACCGGTCAAAGGCTGCCGGCAGGAAGCGGCTGGGAGGGACGCCCGCGCGGTGGGAGCCGGAGTCCGGGCTCTGGCAGCCTTAACCACTTCGGGGCCGGCCGCAGACCCCCTGGGCAGAG